CAGATGCTCGAAGAGTCTTGTTCGCGACAAAATCTCAACGGGCATGATGACATTTATCATGCCCTGGCAAACGGTGAGCCTGCATGTCTTGGACAAATTCTTCGCACGCAGATCACTTGTCAATGCGGCGCTTTTGTAAAGGGTTTTCCCACGTATGTTCGACCATCGGTTTGTCTTGGCGTCCCGCCATATCCAGTTTATGAACGCGGCATGGTTCAGTGCGGTTGCTCTTTGCTGATGCTGCCACGGCATGGCAGATAGGCGGATGCGTGACCCTGTCTGACACCTCTAGCTACCCGCATTGCCAGGGGTGCCTGTGCAGAGAAGAGACGACTGATGCGATCCTCGAGCCGTCATGTATTGGTCGGAACTGCCCTGACAGCTGCGATGTCTTGGTGATGTCAGGTGACTAGCTTGATTGAAAGGTTTTGCGATGTACTGATTCATCGGAGTACTTTCCCTGCAGGCAGCCGCAACCGCACCTGCACGGGTCGTTTACAAGCTTGGCATGCTGGTCCCGTTGTTGCGAATATCCGCTTATTCCCGACATTGCCGGCACTGGCGATGCAAACTCCCAGACTCAACAACATGCCTAGCCTGGAAGCTCCTTACACACAGACTCTGCCACGAACACAGCACAGCACGAGACATCTTGTGCAACATTGTGGTCGTTGCGATCGTAAGCCTTGTAAGCCGTGATGCAGTTTGATTCGACAGAGTCGCATCTAAAGGCTACACTCCTACGATAAGATCCTGCTACGAGGTTACTTCCGAAAGCTTTCCCACAATGGACTTCTGCATGGTTTCTGCCCGATATCAAACCTACCTGAAACTCAGCTGCAAGGCCGCTTCTGCGAAGGAAGAGCTGCGCACGGGGAAAATCTTTGCAAGCCAGGCTGCAGTTTCCGGCTGCTCTGTCGTCGTGGGCAACATCCCTGCAGCTGACAGCACGTCTGCCACTGCTTGCCTCAAGCATGCGGAGGCTTCCTGCTCATTATTGCTTCATGCGTCTCTGAATGTCCGTGCCACAAGCGCTGCTTGGCGGCTGGTTTTCCAGGGTCTCCTCCGAAGCCGCATCCACAACAGCGGCCTTGTCTTCAGGCGGGATGTCTGCACCTTCACCGTGAGCAATGGGCAGTGGAAAATGCTGCGCTGCAGTCTACTGCGGGCAAGTGGGTGCCTGCCAGCGCATGCCCCACCACACTTGCAGGTGAAGCCGTCGTTGCGCCCTGAAGCCCTCGTAGGGCTGCGGGTACAGCGCTTTCCTCGGCTTTTCGCCCTGATACACCAGCTTGACCGATTGCCCGCCCAGGCTCAGCGAGAGTAGCTTTTCGCAAGCGCAGCGTCCAAGCAGAAGGCCCGTCAGCGCCGACCGTTCAAAGGCGCTTCTGGGGTTTGCCGGCGAGACTTACTAACAAGCTGTAACCAAGAGGCTCTCAGCGAAATTGGGATTGCGTATAATTGGTGGACCCTGTTCCAAATCCCCCTTGGCACACGGATCGCCAATCACGAGCTAAAGCTACGTTTTGTCTCTGTCTTTCTCTTCTTCTTCTTCAAGCTCAGCCAAAGGAGAGGCAGGACCCCCCCCCCTCGCGCTCGCAAGCGCACTGGTCAGTCTGAGTCGGTGTGACAGTTGCTGTGTGATGAGGCTCGGCCAGGTTCTGTAGGGATCCCCCTGAACATAGAAATACATAGAACACTCTCTCTCTGTCTCCCTCTCGCTCTCTGTCCCTCTGAGCGCTCTCTCACGCACTCTCGAAGTCAGCGCTGAGTCGCGCACATCCTCTGTGGAGTTAGCGAAACGGTTGCGGTGACAGTAGAGGCCAGGGTCCAGGTTTGCAGGCTTGCCCCTCCTAAATGGAAGGTTGATTCGTATGATTCTTCAGGTTTCGGCTTTTGTGTTAAGGTATGCATGTAAGGAAATAGAGATAGAGAAATACCAGACTGGCTCCGTTGATGTCTTAACAAGCCGCTGTGTGACAGGTTTCCAGTCTGTGCTCCAAGTGCGCAATGGCACCTCTTCCTGCAATGGCCAGAACAGGCCGACCGACATCACCATTGTACACCAACTCTAGTCAGCTTTACAGTATCCTGTGGCACTGAAACAGCTCGATAGATTGATTGGGTCCACCTGGAAAGTTCTAGGCATTACGTTGGCATGGGCCACTCACTACAGGGGGCACAGTCTTTCTTCACCGCCGAGCCACTGCAGCGGCAGCCGCCTGCTGTTGAACAGTAAAGCCTGCATCTCCAGTCGCTGCCACGACGGCTGCCACTTTGGCTTCAGGTGAAGACGCAACGGATTTCGAAGCTGCTTTGGCAGAAGCAGTCGCTGCTGCTGTCCAAGCGTTGAGAATCGTGTCCCAGTGGTCGGGATGGACCGATCTGAAAGCAGAGGAAACACTGGCAACCTGAGGAAGGGCTGCAGGCTCGAGGCAAAACTTTCATATAGCCGTGCTTAGGCTTAGCCGTGAACCTCGCCACCCCGAGCCCGCAAATATCCGCAAATGCCGCGACCGTGCCTGAGCATCGGTCAAGCCCATGGCGGCAGCGGCCTCTGCCACTTTGCTCAAGGAGTCTGGCTGCGAGCTGGCTGGTGCCAATGCATCACTTGCGGCAGAAACAGCCGCAGCAGTTGCTGCAGTCGCAGCATTGTCCAAGCCGTTCGCTTTCGAGGCTCTCAGGACCGCCTGGGCCACTTTGCTTTGCGTATCCGGCACGTCCGCTCCGGCACCGTCCAAAGTCGTAGCCGCAGGAGCTGGTACAGGCACAGACGGGTTCGCCAGTTGTGGTACTTCGAAGGGCTTCGAGTTGCTGGGGACGGGGGCTGCGGCCGCAGGTAATGCAGGCGACGCAGGCGCTGCCACCGCTGCTTCCGGAAGAGTGCGGTTGCCGAGCAGGGCCATGGCCGACAACCTTCGAACGCTTTCGGTGCAAGAGCCCTTCCCGCTGACAGATAAAGGCCTGGAGACGATGAAGGGTCCAACCAAGATCGATCGCTCTTCTGGAGTTGCATAATCCACCTCTCACGCCAGACATCAAATGAATCCTCGCAGCAAATGCCTAAAGGCGGGCCTTCGTGTTCAACATATACCAATCGGTCCCATCCATTGAGCCTTCAAGCTGGAAATCTACTGGATCAGTTCCACGTGTCTCCTCACATCGCACATCAAACCACAAGCTTCCGTTCTCTCCAGACAACCACATCTGCAGTCCTTTTCACCGGACGTCTTGAAGCCGAAGCCACCCACCGAAACTCCCGGCCGAACTTTGACTATAACATACTGGCCCGACGAGAGCAGCAAACCTCGTGAAAAAACACGGTGGCGCTCACATCCATCTGACGAAGGCTCCCTGGAACTGGGCCAGGCACTGGTTGAGGTGTCGTCGTCCATGCATTTCAACGGGTCGTCCATGCTAGCCTTGTCGTCAGACGTGTCCTCAAATGCAGGTGTTGAACATGCTTGCTATCTCTGCTTTTTCAGATTGTGGTGTATACCTGTGCGGCCGGGTCACACTCCCAATGGCCACTTCCGACACAATTCTAGGATCCTTCAAGGGCATCGCCTGCATTGCGGGGGATAGATATGCCCCACGTGTGCTCTGACTGAATTCTTGCTTCCACCTGCGCAGTGGCGTCTGCTAGCAGTAACTCCGAGATACGAGAGCTGGTGGCACCTGAAAGACATGTACCAGGCTACGCGTGCAGGTCGTGCTGATGGCAGCGGCCTTCTCGCGTCCTCAGAACCGAGAACCTGTACCTCGGCTTGGTCGAGTCGGATGGGAACTGACGCAACTTGGGCAGCAGAAATGATGCATCTGCCGTCGCCACCCAGCGGCTGCTGAAAGGACAGAGGCACCTGCCATGACCAAGCTGGCAGAAGCGATTCCTTCCAGTTTCCTCGTCTCTCATGATCTCTCATGCAGCCCAGATGCTGTAGCAGACTTGTGGGCCTCCTGCAATGAGCTGAACATGCGATCGGACTTTGTACGATTCCACGAAGAGATACCCGGCAGCCGAAGTATGCAACGGCAACCACAGGTTCACTTTACCGCAGAAAAGATACACATCTCAACAGGGATGCCAAGATGGCTCAGGATTGCCATGGTCGAAGTGCATGACCCCCGAAGCGGCTACTGCTGTTTTGAAGCCATGAACCTCCGAAATCCTTTCTCCGGAAACCACAACAACCCGAAGCAAAAGCGGTGCTCTGGAAGCCAAGGCTCTCTTCGAGCCTCTTTTCGTATCAACTCTCGACGAGCAGAAGGGCTCTGCTCAGACACCTTGCTTGGATCCGTGTTGCTCCATGTCAAGTAAACCTCCCTCCGCGAGTCTCGGCGTAAGATCTTGAAGACGAAGGGCATCATTGTTAAGATAGCTATGCGAGAACCACTACCGCAGGCGTCCAGCATCAACCCTTTTCGCCATCGCCAATCGGTTCGGAGCATGTGACGGGTTGCAGTTGGGGCGGGACATCTGGAAACGCCGGGATCCCGGCTTCTTGCCGCAGAAGCACGGTGTCACTGCCTGCATGTCAATGCTCATGTCAACAGTCTCCAATTTTAAGTTGCGAAAGGCCTGCATGGACTCCCTGAAGCCAGAGCGAACCTGAGTGGTAGGGCCTGCTGCTCGGACTGATGCATGTGGCTCACAGTTACAAAGCTTCCTGCTGACCAAAACCAGCGGCCAGCGATGCATCCACCTCAGCTTGCAAGGATTGCTGCACTCTGATTTCGCGATCCCGGGGCATGCTATGCATGCTGTGCAGCCGAGCCGCGCCATGCCCAAGCCGTGGTCTGGTCGAAATAATTATGTAGAACGCAGCCAACGGATAAATCCGTCGGCAACGGTTGGCAAAGGTTTTAGGTTCTGAAGCTGTGCAGCTAGCGGTAGATCATGCATTCAAGCAGAAAGCTCACCACTGCGTCACTGCGTGTCGCTGTGCACTCGGACTCCCCCTGTCGCATGGGCCTGTTGCTGTTGCCGCTGAGCTCACAGCCCGGCTCCACCAACTCGGCTGAAACTGCCCGCCTCATGCAACTCCCACTGCGCAGCTCCATGCGCAAAGGCCGATGCGGTTTCAAAGCGGCTCTTTTAACAAATTGTGCGGCGAAAGCATGCAGCAAGCCTCTGTATGTCCGGCAGTCTTTGGCCAGGACAGAAAAGCAGACATGTAGGTTCGCTTGAACAAACAGGTGACTTGCCTTTCGGAATGCTGCGAATGCATGATGCCAGGGTTACTGCCCCTCCTCCTCAGCTTGGTGGTATGCGAGGTGCAGCTCCTTGAGTACTGAAGTGTGGGATGCGCTGCGCATCTTCGACCGATCCGGTCTCATCTCTCCCTGTGCCCCCGACTTTCAATTAAAGCGAGCTCAGGCCAACCTCGTTGATGTACCAGGTCGTGATCGCGGCTCTGTCGCCTTGAAGCGCAGGCTGAGATCGTGTGAATCAACCGGGCAAAGATCACCCATGTTCCCAAAGCAACTCGCAAAGGGGCCCCTGGATTCTACATAGTAGGGCTCAAAGATCTGAGCTGCCGGCGCCGGCTCCTTCGTACTTCATGGGGGACGGACGAATCGCTGAAGAAAGCAACCAAGCCTCTGCATTTCTATGCCACTGCTGTATCTGTTTGCTCAACCGGGGCGGGCCAGCAAACACGCTCAGAACTGAAAGACAGATGTTGCGACACGCCACGGTTCATTACTGGCGCCACGTCGACTTTAATTTGCTTCTGATCCTCCTCGAACCTCATCTGTTCAACTCTGCGTGCAGGAGAAACACTATCAACGAGCAACCGAGTCCCATGCAATCTGATCTCGCCGCCATCGTGCTCCGCATCCCAGTCTTCATTCAAGTAAAAGGTGCATGTCAGCAGTCCTGACTTGCGCAACATCACCAACAAACAAGGTAGAGTTTGTTTGCTACACTCTAGTGTGGCCATGAAGCTGCCATTGCAACCATCTTCGTTGTCCACATGCCTGATGTATCTGGCGTCATCCTTGATTGCTTCTTCTGTTTTCCGCGTACTTGGCATGTCCAGACTGCTTGTCTCAACAAAGCCGCCCAGATGCGTTTTCTGGGCTGCCCGGGAAGACCGCGAATTGTGCATCTGATAGTGCGGTGATGCCCTGCATCCGAGCCTGGATTTTGGCCTGCACAGCGAATCACAGGGGCCGGCTGAACTCTCACAGATACGAGTTCGTTGGACGAACCTCGGGGATGTCCATCAACAGGCTGACCAAGGCATTTGTGTGCTCTACAAGCGGGCCTGGGATGTTGCAGAACAACATGCGCAAACAAGCGCCCAGCCACATGCAGCAATGCCGTCGAGGAACCAAGCTCCGGAACTTCAGAAGGTTGCAGCCACAGAACCCTTTGCTGCACAAGGTCATCAAACGTTGAAGCACAGCTGCAGAAGACACATTGCTAGCGGTAGCAGCCGTGGCAGTGGCAGCGATCGCGGTCGCGCATGTCGTTATTGATGGGTGTTACTGCTTTGTGGCGACTGCCGGCTTTCAAAATTTAGCAACCCCACTTGCAGGCAGTGAAAACATGAACACACCGACAAAAAAGCTGCATCTGCATGCACCGTGCAAAAGCAAATTTCGATGACAGGCTGCTTGTCGCCACGACCTGTCATTCCGTAGTTTCGACGGACAAACGTGCGATCTGAGTTTGCAAATGTCACAACGTGGCATACATGTCAGAAGCACCATACGCAGAAAGCTCCGAATCCGTCCTGCCTCAAGGTGCAGCCAACAGACAAAAATCCAAGAGCACGCAGGCATTCTGAACGCAGCAGTGATGCCTGGCTGCATCTTTGGTCTCCTCTTCTCAAGAGCCTTTGCCAGCTCCCGGGCATCCGTGAGGGGAAGAAAGTCATCCTTAGAAAACCACGGCAAGGAAGGGCAAGGCCAAGGCCCCATCGAAATCGCCGGCAAGCCGAGGAGCCAAAACCAAGAAGTCCTCGTTTTCCAACGCCTTCGGACCGGCTAAAGAGTCCCATGCAAAGAGCAACACTTCGCAGGACACGAACTCCTTGATCCAGACACGTCCTGCATCAGGAGTCGCCCACCAGGCCTGACATGGGCCAGAATCACGGAGAGTTCAACACCCTTTCACGTGCACTGAGCTCGGAGCCCCCTCCTTGCTTGCAAAGCTTTTGCGGACCCGGCTCAAGGGCTCAAAGATGGTGTCCTGCAGGCGCACATTCCCCCCAGTAGTCCTCAATGAAGTCAGCTGCCAGAACAGCAAAGGCAACTTGGGCAGACACCACCAAGCGCTTGCGGGTCTTCGGACTCGGAGGTCGAACCGCTTGCCTCAGCACCGACCAGCTTCTTTCTAGCTTTACGTACGTGCAGCGTTGAAGAAGATCTACTATTCAACTAGTCTCTGTTCCGACCTTTCCAGTGAAAGCATGGCCCAATCACGACGAAATGCCAAGCTGCCAATAATCTATTTCGTACCTCAGAACATCACCAGGCCCATGTATTCATGCACCTGCATCCACAATGTGCAATCACTTTCGGTGCGTGGCTGCAACATCCACTGTTCGCGCTCCCCATTCTTGAGGACCTCCCCGCTGGGCAGGATCAGGAAAAGGGAGCCTGCCTCGCAGCGGAAACAGATGAACACCGAAGTACAGACTGTTTTCTGGCACCGGACATCAACCCTACGACACACGTCGGTCGGGTCTGCAGAAAGCAAACAGACACAGTGACACCGACACAAGCAAGTCTGCAGGTTCTGCTTTACACTTTGCCTTCGTGCTTTGCTGAAGGGTGAGATCGGTCAGGTCTTCTTCCGTGATTTATCCACTAGTTGGGGGCGTTTACTTGATTGTCTTCACAAGTCCTGACACTTCTCTGCACCTCTTTCCCATGGTGGTATGCAGTGCTGCTCAAAACTTGTGATTGGATTTGGGAAGTTAAGCATTGAGCCGGCATCACGAAGAAGCAATACTGTAGCTTCTCGTCTGCATTTTCATCAGATGTCATGTTAAACACGCAGGCTGTTCTGGTGCAGCCGACTGCATCATTTGAGCTTTCCCTGAAGGACGGCCTCCTCGATGAGACCTTCGACACCATGGGTCTTCATGAGCTCAGACCATTGTTTTTCGGCAGCTGCCAGAGCCTGGACTTAGGGAATCTTGGCAGTTCTCGGTCGCAGGCTGCACTCTGCCGGGCCTCTTCTGCCGCAGGTGAACGAAGGTCGATGCTCAGCGCAGTATCGAGACTCAAGGAGTCAAGCAACCTTGTCCCAAGCCAGTATGTCTGCTCTGGCCGAGAACTGAAATAATGAACCATGGCGCTCGCAAACTTCCTGGTTCTCACCATCGAAGAGCACCTTGAGTTCAGGGTCCTCTCGGTTTGAGATCCAACTCTGCTCGAAGTCAGAAGCTGGGTAGGTCCTGCTCTGGCTCATCCTGTTCTGATTCCGGCGCTGGAGTTGGCGTGGCAGGGGCGGCGGGTGGTGGGACGGCGGGTGGCGGGGCAGCCCTTTGGAGGCCATCTTTGCTTGCTGTTGGTGATTCTCCTGGTGGGGGCGGCGCCGCCCCTCGAATGCCAAGTCCTTTCGGCTTGGTCTTGGCTTGCTCCATCTCCACCACGCTGCCCGCATCGCCCACTGGCTCGCTCACCTCCTTTCACACATTCCCGTAGCTGAGCGTGACAGCTGTATACAGTTCTACTTGACGGCCAAGGTGCATGAAGTGGGATGCTTGGATTCTTCTCGTCATAATACCATACTGTGGCCGCAAAGCCTTGCGTGCATATTGTTTCGTGCAGACAAACTCGTGAGTGTGAATTCCCCGTCGAACAAAAACCGAACGACCGTCCAAGTCACGATCTTTGCAAGCCGACAGCACTTCATGCGGACTTCGGTCGTCAGACCAGAAGAGAAGCAAGCGATTCCACAACGGCTCAATTTCCATGCGAACCTCGGATGCAGCAGCTGAGGTCACTGCAGTTTCCCCTGACAGAAGGTCTGGGGCATCTGCTTTCAAATTTTTCTCGCCTCCACAAGATGCGTGACACACCTCTGCACCGGATGACTCGGTTCACGCAGCCTGGGTGGAAAAGCCGCAGCTCACCTCCATCACCTCGCTGCCAGTTCTCCTGACACGTCGGGCTCATCTGAAAATACACAAGCAGAGCAATACTCCTCACAGGTCGAGGCAGCGGCATTCAGGTAAACAAGAGCAGTGAGGAGTCTACCGTTGCCGGAAGAGTTGTCCGTGTGACGGAAGTACCCTCAGCATGTCCAACTCAAAACGATCAGGCGTGCCGGAACAATCCTCGAGCAAACACCTGACCTCTGTGGACAGGAGGCTGGCACGGCTGTCCGCGGGATAGCACGTGAACATCGTCTCTGACCGCCATTGTACACCTCAACTCTACGAGGAGGATAGAATACGTACGCTTGCGTCGCCAAGCGCTTTTGATGGGTTTGGGATGCACTTGCCTTTGAGTGCCGACGACACGGAGGGCACCACGTCAGCAGCATTGTGACGCAAACCAAATATCACCTCTTCGATTCGTGCCTCGAAGCTACCATGGCGTGGGAGATACGATAAGCCAACAGCAGAATGACAGGATGGGGCTCGCACGGCAAACTCGGCTGCGCAGAGGGTTGCTTCCCTGTCTCCGTCATAGCCGACCCACTTCAGATAATCACCACCTTGCGAAAAAGCCCAGATAAAGGGGCAGTGAGAGTAATTGTCCTGATATGGCGCACGGTGTGCAATTCCCACTCGATCTCCACCTCGGAAGCGAGCTGCAGACACGCTGATGAGTGAAATTGTGATTGCAGATGCCTCGCAAATGCCTCGCAGACTGTGACGGCAGGGTGCGGGTCGCTGTCGCATGTCTCCAACTTCTTCTGCTAATATCCCAACGCACTCTGAATCCGCCGACCCCGCTGTTGGGCGCCGGGGGACGACCCGGTCTTGCGTGGCTACGTCAGTCGTTTTCCTCGTTTTGCTGTCTTTGGCGACAAGCGAAAACGTTGTAAAAAAAAAAACTGGTTTTCGTGTGTTGGCTTTCGTCGTTCAAAACGCAGCTTGTAATGCCTTGGGGTGTGTGGACTTTGAGCGCCCCGCGGGGCGCGCATTATGGAAGGGTCCGTGGGGGCCTTGGCGTGTTGACTTGAGCTGGGTGTCTGTTGAGGGGGGGGTGGTGTGCAAGGCTAGGAGATGTGAAGAAGACGTTCCAGGATTTGGCGTTTCTGTCTTGGAACAGCAAGCCCTCTCTGGCAGCGGCTTGGGGTGGGGCGGGGGGCAGGGCCGTTCCACCTTCACACCGTGCGAGCATCAAGGCCTGGCTTGTACACTTGTCGTCAAACTTCCTCTATGATGTGTAACTCTCGGAGAGGACTGCTTGCGTTGCCCGCGCCTGGTGCAGTCCTCAATCGGGCAGCGCAGCGGGCCCTTTCTGCCAGGCCGTCAAGAGCTTACAGCGAGGCGAAGCCGCCGGATGCGCCGGTTTTCTGTGGCCTTGCGTGCACATGCCTGGTGCTTCAGCCCTGAGCGCTTGGACTCGCGGCTATGTCGGTAATTTGTGCCTTTTTTGCTGGCTTTTGCAAGAACGAAAACGCTATAAATATCAAGGTTTTCGTGTTTTCCCAGCATGCAATATTTCGACGGATTTCGTCGTTCAAAACGCTGCATGCCTTGGGTTTCGGACTTTGGGTGCCCCGCGGGGCGCGCATCATGCGCATCAGCTGCTTGGGGTCCGTGGGTTGTGGGGGACAAGCGCCCTCCCCCTCTGATGTGATGCGCACTTTTGGGGCCTTGACGGGACTCAAAATTTCTGGGCAAGGTCCCGGTTTTGCTTGCGCTGCCCACACCTGGAGCAGCTCTTAAATTCGAAATTGCCGCAGTTTGGGCATAGTCTGCTTATATAACCTCGAGGCACCCCTGCAGCCTGTATCGTGGGTGACTTGAAGTTCGGCGTTTGCCAATCAGCCTGTTTGGTCGGCTGAGTGCTCTGGGGCGTGGATGATGCTCGTACTTTGGCAAGTCGGGTGTTCAACTATGCTGCGCCCTCATGATGCCCAGATGCAGCTGCAATCTATTGAATCTACTGGAGGCCTGTTACCGGCTCCATGTGGGATAATGCCGGGAGCGCAGGCGGCACAACTGCTGCAGTCAGAAGTCCAGCCTCTTCTGACAGTGCGAGGGATTGGCATAGTATCGCTCAGAGTGGCCGTGCTTTCCCTCAGGACTAGGACTAGACCTTTCCGTGTTTGATTCTCCATCTTGTGAACTCATGTGCACTTCGCAGCTCGAGTGGAAAGCAGCGATGGCTTTTCCACGCTTTTTGCCGTAGGTGCGCCGACCGAAGACGGTGCCAGGCACGCGCGTCTCTCCACGATCCCAAGCTCCCACTTGGCACTAGCAGGCCGGCATATAACACACACAAGGAGGCAAAGCACACGAAAGAATGCAGGGGCAGGGTATAGCTGCTCTTTCGGTCATTGAAGGGTGGTGACAGCACGTGCTGGACCACACGTGCACCAGCATCACCACTGCTTCGCACATCGTCGACTGTCATAGACGACACAAACTACATACAGGAGGCTAGCGTGGATCCTTGATTTCGTTCCTGCGTGGATGTGTTGCAAGTATCAACCCTCCCGATCCAAATCCAAGCACCAAGGCGGTGACTTCCACGCTTCGGGGTTTCATTCTGGTTTCGCCAAGCTGTCTAGGAAGTGTCTGCCACCCAACTCGTAGCTCTGCTGCAACCTGAACCAGTGTATCTGGCAGGTGTTGCCGCGAGGCAGAGATGGAGGGTCGAGTTCAGATGGAGGGTCGAGTTCGCTCGATAGGCTCTGCTTTCATGGACCATACCGCCGCCGTAATAGATTGCAATGACGGCACCTGGCTTTTCAAACTTTTACGGAAAAAGATTCCCGGTTTAGGGCGAAGGGTAGGGCGGGTAGGTCTGTTTCCGCTTTAGTTCCGGTTTCGGGTTTTTTGCCTCCCACCTTAGCGTTCGGGACCGGTGGGTTGTTTAAGGCCCTTGGGTTTTCTCCAAAAGGGAAATAAAACAGACTCAGTTGATGAAAGAAACAAGAAACACCAAAGTATCCACTGATTCGGCGAACGAAGAAACCACAGCGCTACCTCAAAAGCAAGACACGGGCACGGTTCAATTGATTGCCTTGTGAATTGCAAACAAACTGCACGTAAGCCTCACAGACTGGAACAAAGCTTTCGACTCCATTGAACGCACCGCCATGACCGCAGCTCTCAAAAGTTTCGGTGTTCCCGCACTCTGATTAGATTCTTCAGGCCACCATTGAAAGTCATGGTCAGAACGGCGGCACACTACCGGTTTTTTTTGCATCCAGCCTGCAAGAGCCACACTACCGATTTAAATCGGGGATACGTCAAGGATGTCCGCTCTAACCATGCCTCGTTTCCGTTTATCTTCACTGATTTGGATAACCATCTGCGACACTCTCGTCTGCCGCATGCCCAGGACTACGACTTGCAGCATGCCGACGACACCCTACTCCTCGCGTTGACCACGCCGCTGCTGTACTTCAAGAGCGCCAACGAAAGGAACTCTGGGCACCAATGTGAAGAGATCTCCCGACATCTCCAGAAGCGATGCCACGCACCGCATGCAGAAGAAACTGAGCCGAACACCACCCGTTGTAGCCCCCAGTTGCATCTCAGAGTTCTGGTACAGGTCCAAGTTACTTGCCTGGGTTTGCCCGTCGCTGGACCAGGCAAGCAAGAAACCGGGACAACATCCGTGCCTTGACTCGCCTGATCACTTCGTCCGGCAAAAAGTCGTCAATCAAGACGAAGCCAACCTTAAGTGTCGAATCAACAATCGAAGTCTCGTCTTCTGTGACACCAGGATCACAAGGTCACACCGACGATGTCTAGATAGAGTCTACGGAAAACAGCCAGCTCACCACGCCCCTCGTCGCCTACATCTGCCACAAAAGTCCCGCTCCATTGGCCTGCCATTTTGGGCATTGATCTAGAGGTAGCGGACCTCGTCCAGTTGCTGGGCCAGTGATTTCAAAGCCTGCAGCAGGCGCAGCTGCTTCATCCAACAACAAGCTGCACAGGCAGCATGCCTCTGGCTGCTTCCACCACTCGGCTTTCAAGGATCTGATTGCGCAGGTGCAGGCTACATGTGTTGAAATCATGGTTCAACATTTCAACCCACCCAATGCCCAATGCCGCCTAAGCGGGCGGAAATATGTCTCTTCCAACACTTCGATGTCGTCTTCGCTGGGGTGCTCTAGACCTGTCCGCTCAAGCCCGTCTAGCATACTCTCCCCCAAGCCGTTTGGGAGCGGGAAGTCTTCATCCTAGTCGGCGAGGCGCAGGTTCTGTAGCGAAGCTCCCGCAGTAAGGGCCACGGATCCATCTCCAGGTCCTTCGGATGCATCTGCCATGAGGCAGCTCTCATGGCAACTTGCCGCATTAAGCGACTCGTGAGAGCCCGGGTTCCATTGCAATGTGATGCTGTCTGACTCCCTCCTATAATTCGAAAGGGCCTCAAAATCGAACACGAACCAGGGGCTGCGATGGTCCAAAGAGAAACGAACAGTGGCTCAGCATCTGGAAGCCGCAAGCCCGGAAGGCTTCGGTCCTCAATCATGGCCCCGCCAGGCAGCACCGCACAAGCGCAAGCATCGCGTCGAAGTCGCTCCACGCAGTCATCACTGAGGTGCCGCTGCCTTTCGGAGCCGCAGCTTCTGGCTCAAGAACGATCGATTGGCCCGCCGGGCCTCGCCAGCTCGAGCAGAGCCGCACTATCCTGTCTTACGTATGGCGGGCAAACGAGAAGGCATGGGCGCTCTTCTGAGAAGGCAGCGCTCGACGGCACGATGGCATAGGACACAGGGCGGGGAGCCATTGCACTGTCCTGCTTTCACAAGCGATGCGAGTTTGTGTTGTTGCCTTGTTGCCGTCTGAAAAGCCAACTTGCAAGCCTGCTCGACCGCAACCACAACCTGGACGGGTGCCACACGGTCACAGAAGTGTCACAGCCAAGCGTGATGCACACTGTTGAGGCTATGGCTTCTCCCGCTTGTTTTGAGTTACGATCATACACCACAACGACCTGCGTCGCAAAGACATAAACTCCAGGTGCGGAACAATGGCCTGAACGCACGAGGTCCCAGCATCATCTGCAGCAAAGGCCGCGGCTGGCAAGATGGACTTCAAATCCTCGGGTTGACTGGCACAACGCAAGGCTCGGCCTAACACATCTGATGACCAAACTCAGGGCTGCTGCTGGTCGACGCCTCTGTGACACACGCGATCACTGTAAATGCCGTGCTGAGGCGGGACTGACTTCCGCACCTCCCCTTGGCCGCGCTTCTGCGCGGAACTACGGCAAGCACAGCTCCCACTAGTGCTCCTGGCAAGGTTCCAGGGCGGTGAAGCTTGAGAATTCCTGCCCAGATGCCTCTAGTGAACTTGCATCTTTCGTCGAGCGAATGTTGCCGAAGCGAGGCAATACGAGTCTGCCAGTGCTTTTGGAGGGACGCAGGTACCTTCGATGGCACAAGCCATTCAAATGTTCTACGGTGTGCCTGGAACAATCACAGCCGAGGATTTTCTGCTTGCATCCGCGCTTCTGATAACACATGGGGCTGGCGTAAACGAACACAGGGACATAGGCTTGCCATGGCAATTCAAGCGAACCAGAGGGGGCTTGTGTGTCTTCTGCCTTGACTGCAACTCTTTCGTCGTGCCACGCGTGTACAAAGCCCAAAGGAGCCGACGAGGGACTGGCCGGCACACAGATGCAGAACTGATGCCGAGCTGTTGTGCTAGGGACCCGCCATTGTGCAGCCCTTTTGCACATCCTGGGGCCCGGCTCTGCGGCTATGCGAAGCGCCTGGACAACATGCACCCAATACTCGCGCCCAGCTCCAACACATGATCCGTGGTCCCGGCTTGCACTCTTACCGGAGGCACCGAACCCTGCACGGCGAATGGCATAAATGCACGAAACCGTGTTGCTGAGTAACGCAGCCTTTCCCACCTGAAAGCTCGGACATGTCAGCCAACATATCCAGGGTGTCGTTCTTTTCAGAACAGCTCTGTCCGATTATCTGCTTGCGGGCATGGCAATGCTTGAAGCACCGTCCTTCGAGGCTCCTCCACCTTGCAATCCGCAGGTGAGCCACGCACATCTCTGCACCCGGCAGGTTGCATCGCTGCATCATCTGTAGCACTTGGGCCTTGGCCGGGTGAGCTTAGATGACCTGGTGCGATCTCCTGCGTTCAATCTGGCCGAAGCCATTTCAATCATCAGCTGCACAGCGTGTTGGCAATAGGCCTCGTCATCTTCTGGCTCCTCTTCCTGCAGCTGTGCTCCGAATCGCTCCGCTTCGCTGTGCGCTGTGAGCAGGTGGGATTCCGGTCCTCGAGATCTTCATCCTCTAGTCCCTGCTCATCTGCGTCTTCCTGGAACTCATCGCCAGAGTCCTTGCGATAAGTTCCCCATGTGTCGTGCAGTTCAGTGTCTCTTGAGTCTAGAGTCTAGAGTTTGTGTGTGCGTGTGTATGTGTTTAACGTTTCAGACCAAGATCAATCGCACAACTTCGAGAGTTTGCTCCTTTGTGTCCATGCCTGTCTCATGGTATCACGTTGCCATTGCAATGCCGCTGAAAGTCTTCGTCCAACGTTACACGACATATGCGGACACGCAAGACATCGTAAGACATCGCAAGACCAAGAAATATGGAAGTCAAAATACAACAGCCACAGAAGCCGACGATCCGACGCATCGAAGCCAAAGGAAAAGGTCTCTGCTACTGTGGGCTTTGCTCTCAAGTCGCATCTCGTACTACCAGTAACTACCAGGCAACAACCACAACGTGCCAACCGCTGCGCACCTCCGGCACTTCAGCCTCTCCTGTCGCCTCTTCTGCCATGATCAGGCGGTCTTGACCCTGAACTGCAAAAGCTTCACTCACATGAACCATCTCTCACGGGCACTTGTGGCAAGCATCGGGCAACTTGTGATACACGTTCCATGCTATCCTTCGAATCTGCACTATTCGGGAAGCACACACCTCTCGTGCCTCTAAAGGCCCTGGAGCACCATGCCAGCAGCAGCAGTTCAGTCTATGAAAAAAATGATGCAAAATGATGCCTTCCGTGTGGTAGTTACCTGATGGCTGTTCGTCTCCGACGGCTCGAGGAGAATAATGACGGAGCGAGATCATGTTCGGGATTCAATGGCCGGACGAGCCTATCAGCACTGCATGCTGCTTGAGCACGACGGCTTTCTGCTGCGCATACAACTGTATTTGTGCTTGCACCAAAGGCTTGATATGCAGCTTTGAATACCTCGTCCATGGTTGAGATAGGCTTTTCCACCATGCCACCGCTGGTTCGGGCCCGCGATTGCTGGGAAGGCCTTGTGTGCCTTTCTCCGAGTGCAGGCAGCCCTGCTGCCGAATGAAAAAAGAACCCCTTTGCGAGAGTGAGCCGAGTGCTCAAACCAAGCAGGTTTGGCATTGAGCCAGATGTATCCTATGCAGCGACTTCTGCAAACAATGTATACAGTAGCATGCCACAAGGTGGAGCACTCGCTCTTGAAAGCCTGTCTCATCAAGGGATCTCTGCTATGCTACACACAAAGATCATCGCGGCTTGACCTTGCTGATGTCTCGGTCTTTCAGCTTCGCATCCAGCCGGGCTTCCAGGCTGTCGGCGATCTTGGACCTCGACAGGAACCCCGTGACACCCATGACACGGCTACTCTCAGTTTTGCATCTCAGGAGGATCACAGGCCCTGGCTCCTCCTCCTCCAGGGTCATCATGTTGGTCAGATAGTCTTGCATGCCCATCATGCCCTGGGCGCGTGGAAGATCTGTGTTCACCATCGTTCCAATGCAATCAGGCCCTCGCAGTGCTGCCCTTCCTTCTGACATACTCATTGACCTGATGGTTGGTAGAAACTCTGGTCAGCAACACCTTGTGCAAGGATGTTCATCTCAAGGCCCCACATCCTGACCGTTTAACAGAACATCGGCATCACTCTCCTGCCCAAGGCTGCACAACTTCATTCTGCAGCATCGAAAATGGCGATCAGCACCGACGTGGCCACCTGCTTTGGGATGATTGGCTCAATCTTTCCCAGCTGGAAGAACCCACCACCGCCGCTCGGCCTCAGAACCAGCTGTCGGGTGTGCATAATGCCAAGGCAACACGCCCGTACACTCAGCTGTCCACTGTTCTCCACCTTTCCTGACGAGCAGTCCGCTCACGAGGTTCCCACCAGGATAAATGGGCTGCAAGCTTCCCAAGGCACTGACTGCTGTGCCTTCTTTCTATCTTCCTTAGACTGGTACGGCTTCACCTTCATTCGGGTGTCCTGTCGTCAGGGCTGAAACGAGTTTTTGCAGTTAAGTGCACGCACTCAATCACACCTCGCCATCCACTTCCCACACGCCCTTGTACCTCTCACACGAAGCAACGTCGGAGTGCAACACAATGCAATATTGCAAAGAGCTTGGTGCCCAGCTCCAACGCAAAGCCCTCGCACTCCCCTGTTGGCTTCTTGACCATCCTGGCTGTTCTGCCCTTCTACCACCAGTACACCTTCCTGAAAAGAACTCCCAAGCCACCACACCAAGCGGCCTGAAACAACACGCCAGGAAGACTGGAACTGCTGACAGTCACTATAAGTCAGGTAAATGTCGGCATCGTCCTAGCTTCTGACAGTAACCCGGGCCGTGCGAAATCGTGCTGCGTCGACACACAATCATTCCTTCTTGTAGACCGCTCTCCCGTTCACCTGCCGAACTCCATTATCATCATGCCAAAACGACACTATGCAGAATGACCGGGTCAATAACCTTTTTATCTGGGAACACGCTCCAAAGACCTGGACATCAGAGGAACACATGCTGTCGGCGAGGTCTGGACTGAGAACACAGACCTGGCTTCCAGAACTCAGCGGCACGCCGTTGACATCCTTGGCCCGCTTGCCGCTCAAGCCATAGGCCTGCAACACAAAAACATACAAAAACCGGATCTGTGCGTTTAAGCCGCCACTTCACACTGAAAGCAAAACTGCAAGTTGTCTGGATGTCGTTTTAGGGCGTGCTTGCCTCCAGCCTTCCCGGGGTCTTGTCTGCAGCCAGAACTGCCGGAGCCTTGCGGCATTCATGACACTAGGACCTTCTGTCATTTGCATGACAGGCAACGCCCAAGCCGGAGCCGAGCAACCACACCCAGGACCAAAGGTGAAGCCACGACCGCACCAAGGAGACCTCACAGCTGCACAGATTTGATGTGCCGTGTCACAGTCGGGAAAGGGCCGCAACTTCTTCGCGATGCCCTATCCTGACAACAAGGACACCGCATCACTTCCACCCTGCCACCAAATCAGAACCTGCAGGGCCTGCTGTTCGTGTGCGTGACTTGGAACGATGAAAGTCAGTGCAGCCTGGAAGCAGTGAGGTCTGTTTGCAATCCATGTCGACCTGCTTGCCCGAAGCTGGGGAACCAGCAGATCCCAGCACAGCCACCGCGATCGCCTAAAGCAAACACACGGCGGCTCAGTTCTGTTGGTGCCTGTGCCTTCCCAACCCTTGAGTTGCTCGCAAGTGCTCGCCGACGCGATGCCTGGCACACAAGGTTCAGGTTCATCCCGGCAAAATCAATCAACCTCTTGCACAGAAGATTTACCCCATGTCACACCAATCCCACAAGATCTCACAGGCTTTTTTGCGACAATGGTTACGCTTTTCCGGGCCATTTTGCCAACGGCTGGACTGAGACTCGACATCTCGTGACATCTCGGGCATGCCACACCCAGAAAAGCAGCTGCTTGACACTTCTTGCAGTTTGGCTCGAGCACCTCAGATAGCCAGGAGCGGCACCAAGGGTGCAGCGACCGCATGTTTGAGCGTCTGAGGAAGCCGCTGAAGACCACGTCATCAGGAGCACTGGCTCCGCCGATGATGCATGAAGGGGACGATGAAGGCCACTGCACATCAAGCATCCAATGTTTGCACAAACGAAGCGCACCGCTGTCTAGCCCTGGGTCGAGTCGCTTCTGCAGCTGCGAAGCCATCGTCCCTGTCGAACCTAGGTCGAAATTCATCGCTGCACAGCTGGTTCTGCCAGGAATACAAACTGCAAGCTACTGCATGGCAGATTTGTGGATGTAAGCTGTACGGCCGGATCGTAATCTGGGATTCGTTTACATCCGCGATGTCTGCTTTTTGTTGAAAGAATGTTGGGTCGCAGCGGCTTCTCCTGCCTCTCAGTCTCATACTTCGCCGAATATTCTGCTGGGTAGCTTGTTCTCGCCTGCACAGCCGCCGACAGCACGCGATGGGCGGCGGAGTCCATACACTTTCGCATGCTGTCACACAGCGGCTCGCCGGTGGAACCTTTGCGAGAACAGGCACATGAAGGTATGGATCCTGGCAGACCGTATGTATTTTCACAACGCATGAAGACATCACGTGCAGTGCTACGTGCCGGGCATTTGCTGGCTTCCCCGGTGTAGACCTTGCCGTGGACGCCGTGGAAGAATGCACATGCCGAAACAAATGCCTCCAGAGCTTGATTGAGATCGATGGCGCCGACGTGCTCTGCCAGACCTTCCCAACTGTGGATTGAAACTCCTGCAGAAGCAACCTGACAGGATCTCCAAACAAACCCAGCCTTGGTTTGGCCGGAACTGCGGCAGCATTACAAGTGTTCAAAGCAGCTTGTGTATTCACTTTGCAGTGCGTGGTACGCGAGTTCGGCGCCTCTAGACTCTAGACATGTTGACAGTTAAGACATTCATTCTTGGCACCAATTGGAATCACGTGGACACTGCCACTCGATCACAAATGTCGGGCGGCTCTCTCTTTGCGACGTGGGCATGCCAACTCTGCCACCAGCACAGTGCAAACATGGCAGCACCCACCGTGAAAGACCTGAGCCGCAAGGCCAGCACTCCATGAACAGCCGAGCTCGATCAGCCTACTTGTCTTGTTGCTTCAAGTGTGTCGCCTTCCCGTATTTCACCCGGCTTCATATGTTGCAACAATTACCACATGGATAACTACAGCTCATGACACAGCGTCTGCTCGGTAAATCACGGAGGCACGGCGTGACAGAATTGTACTCTGTGACTGTGACTGGACATACGTAGCTTTTGAACCCAGGCTCCTTGCTATCAGCTGGGCAGTAGACATGTGTAGCTTAGAACTCAAACATTATGACAAGGCTCCCTGTATGAATGACCAAGTCGCTATGAACTCAAAGTGCACATGCAGATTGAGAGCTCTTGTTTTTAGGAACTGAACACGGTCTACAGCTGCGCACAAACGCAGCAGGTTGCTTTAGCGATTGAGTGACAATGCATCACAGAAAATGACATCCGTACGGCAACCAAACACATGCGAAGCACAGGAACATACCTGAATGGATGATATGCTAGCCGACACGCTCCCGAAACGGCTCAGGTCTTAGGGCCATGCGCTTTGCGGGAAGCCATGTTGGAGAGCCTCAGTGGCAGATGGGAACACGGACACTGCATCTCCCTGATCCATTGCAACATGGGAGCAGCTGGGGAAATGCTCGATGACCCAACCCGGTAACCCCCGCTAGCCAGTCTGGGCCAAATTTGCGCATGCAGCAATAGCAACGGCAGCAACGGACAAATACCAAAAAATCCGGAAATACGGTCCACATGGCATCGGACGACCTGCGTCGAACGCAGGAGCTGAACAGCTGAACGAAGGCATGCTGAGGCCGAACTGGTATGGGCACGCGCTGCCGTCGGCATGCTTCGGCGAAGTCCTGAGTCAAACACGTTCCGAAAGCGCTGGCAATGTGGAACAGGGCAGTCGGGATACGTCGGCAGCACAGTCATGAGAACGGCCCAACTTGTGAAAGGCCACGGGGCCACGCAGGGCTGGGCTTCGGAGTTCGTCGGATTGGGTGAACGAGCGGATGCAACAGGAGCAATGCTTGTGGGGAGAGCTGCCCAAATTTCCCAACCTACCAACACGTGCGGCTGCTGCTGCTGGCTCTACGCCTCGCGAGCTCTAATTTTGTTTAGTGTTTTTGAATCGCGCTCGCCATCGGCAGCTCCAAGAGCGATGTGACATACGCACGCGGCGATTAATTGTACCTGTCCTGGCAGGTGGCCGGCCGCAAGCGCACAAGCGCTTGTTGTCGCCGTCCAACCAAGCCTCCTTCGCATTATGGCAGGCTGGTCCACCAGCTGGCGCATGGCTGACTGTTGGACCGGGCGCTGTGCGGTTTTCTTGACGCAATGCCGCTGCAAAGGTGGATGCAGGGCAGAAGTAGGCGAGGGCGACAGCACGAGGCTTGGCTTGGTTAGACGTGATTTCATTTGAGTTGACTGCACATGACTAGGCCTGACATGACTTGACTTGACTGGACTTTTTTCTTTGTTCGCAGTCGACAGTTCATGAAAAACGGCAGAAGTGGGGATGATCTGGGGCTGGTGTCAGAAATGTTCAAATACGGCGGTCGTTCACTGCATGAGTTTTTGCTTGGCATTTACAACTGAATGTTGCGTGATCAATGTCTGGAGCCTGCATGTTGGCCTCCCTGAACGACTCACCAATATAAGATATGCAAATGACACCGTATTGTATGCAAAAACGTCCGACGAACTGGTGTTCACGATGGAAAGTTTTATTCAAGAGCTCGACAAGATTAAACTTCATTTTAGCCCGCAAAAACCAGGGTATTTTCAACTTCTGATGTTGAATCGCCTGTGTCTCTCGATATTTGTGGCAACATGGTGGAAATTCTCATGCCCGATACTGCCCGATTCTGCAGATAAGTATCGATACTGCCCGATTCTGCACATAAGTATTTGGGAGGGCATTTGGATGGCAACTTGTCTCGACGACACATCACTGAACTCAATCACAGAATACGTGTGGCTTGGTACAAGTTCCGATTACACCGTAAACTCTTGACAAGCAACCGTGTGTCCATCAAATTTCGATTGAACCCCTTCCTGCACGTCTCCGCAAAATATCCTTCTCCAAGCCTTGCGTGGCGAATGCTAAACTTCCCTGAAATTTGTGGATGGTACAAACAATGCTAAAACTTGTACCAGTGCGTAACTCCAGTTTCAAGGTTGCATGCAAACACATCAGAGTCTCCAAAGTGGCAGAAATTTCCGTTGCGCGGACGAAATAAGGAATGCAACTGCTCCGCAGATGTTCTTGCGGCTTTGCAGGCATTTTCGGGTGGATCTAGGTTTTTTTTTTTCTCTCGCTCTTGCTTCTTTTGCCACAAACGTTCTCTAACGTGCACAGACGATCAAAGCTGGGTGTCGTACATTGCACTGGATCTGGAGTGGGATTCGAACCGAATTGACAGGTCGGACTATTTTTCTTGTCCTTCATCACAGAATCCAAGCCGAACCTGGATGAAGACTCTGCTTGTTGTTGTTCCTCTTGTCCCTCCAAGCTCCGACAGTTTCAACGGTTGAACCTGGATTCGAACCCCAAACTTTGTTCCAACAAAACTTCAAGGATTTCCGGAAAGAAACCAAATAGCAGCTGTTGGAGCCAGCTGTCTGGCATTGAAAGCGAAACATACAGTCAGCTGTGTTTTATCAAATTGTCCATGCATGAAGAAAAAATATTTTCATTTTTGTTTCACTGTCAATCTATCTGTCCATCTATCTTTTTGTCTACCTGTCCATCTGTCTACCTATCATGTATCTATCTGTCTGTCTAACTACTAATTTTGTAACTATTTAACTATCCAACTGTTTGACTATCTAACTATGCAACTGTGTAACTATCTAACTCTCGTTCCATGTAACTATCTAACTATCTATCCATCAAACGTTTCCTAATCTTATGTCATCTTCTTCTATCTTACCTTACCTTACGTCATCTTATCTTGTCGTATGTATCTAAACTTATTTCTTCGTGTTCTATCCTATTTTTCTGATTTTGTCTTATCTTATCTTGTCTTGCCCTATCTTATTTGATCTTATCTTATATTCTCTGCGGCACGGGGCGGTACAGGTGTGGTACGAAATTCCCTGAGGTTCTAACTTGGCCCCCGGGCAAAAACGACAAATGTGGTTCTAACTTCGCGCTCTGCATCTCCGGCGCGGGGGACGGGCGCCCGAGGTTTTGGCTCTGTTTGGTTCTAGCTTGCCGTTCGGAATGTAAGCACGTCGTACTCATGTCGTCATCCTTCGTGTGCCGGTCGCGACGTGCGCCTTTGGAGCGTTTCCTGTGCCGCTGATGCGGCCCACAGATGCCAATGGAACTGTTTGGGGAGGTCCCCCAGCAATATCGCCATAATGATTTTCTATAAAGGGAACGAGCCGAGCAGAAACGCAAGCTTTCTCAACCGCATTCCTCGCATTGACGCTCGCAAAGCGATGGCTCAGTTTGAATCCTTGAGGGCCCCAGCTGCAAAAATGGTTGACCTGCAAGGGGCGACAGTTGCATGGACTGTGGGATTTCTCTTATAGAATTCGGATATACTAGGAACGCTTTTGCGATTGCAGTGTTTTGAACACCGG